GCAAAAGGCAACAAGAAAAAAAAAGGGGGAATTGCAACAATTAGAGAAGAGATGTCTATGTTGCATCCTAAATGTAAAACACTCACTTTCCTTTCGCTCATAAGGATGAAGGCGATTGTTGTTTCTTCCAGATTTTCAACCTGAGGGGGGGCAGGAATCAGTGTTGACACCTGTAATTTGAAAGGTGCAATGGAAAACCTAGTGAACAAGGCATAATTACTATGCTCTCTCCATAGGGGGCACACTCTATGAAGCTCAACTACATGAGCAGATTAATTCTGCATCCTTTATGCTTTTGGGTCCCATCGCGATTGCTATAGCAACCCAACAAAATTATAAGTGATGTCAACTTCTGCAAACAATTTTCAGGGAAGGAAATTCTGAGAAAAATAGACACAGGAAGGGACAGTTTTGTTGTTTTTTTAAAGCCCTGTATTGGAACATCAGAAATACAGGGAGCAATCGTATAGCAAGGGGCTTCCTGAGGGCAGGAACACAGAGGGAAGACTTAGGCTGGATCCTAAGCCTGCTCAGCTCAGTCATATAAAAAGGTAAAAAAGGTAAAGGACCCCTAGTCAAAGGCGACTATGGGGTTGTGGTGCTCATCTCGCTTTCAGGCTGAGGGAGCCGGCATTTGTTCACGGACAGCTTTCCGGGTCATGTGGCCAGCAGGACTAAACTGCTTCTAGTGCAACAGAACACCGTGATGGAAACCAGAGCGCACGGAAACGCCGTTTACCTTCCCACCACAGTGGTTCCTATTTATCCAGTAGCACTGGTGTGCTTTCAAACTGCTAGGTTGGCAGGAGCTGGGACAGAGCAACGGGAGCTCACTCCGTTGTGGGGATTCGAACCGCTGACCTTCTGATAAGCCCAAGAAGCTCAGTGGTTTAGACCACAGCGCCTGGCAACCCACTGTAAGTTAAGCCGATAAAAGGCATTATGTAGCTCACGTACTGTTTTTAAAGGCTCGTTTTCCCTCTCTCAGGCTGAGGTTGATTCAGCTAGCAGTAGCCACATTCCGGAACAGAGTTTAGATCTGGTGTAACTTTATACTAGCTTAATTTATACTGGCTTGCTGTATGCCAGCTTTGTTTAAAACCAGTGGATTTCTAATTTCAGTTATTATCAGATCTTTTTGCTATCTGAAGTCCACTATGCATACTATCAATGAAATATATTCACTGCTGTGAATACATTTTTTACTTCATACAAATCTCCACTATTTATTTATTAATTATTTTCGTACCTTATCAAGGTCATAGATGCTCCTTCCTTGGAGGTTTTTATGGAGAGGCTGGATGACCACCTGTCATGGACACTTTAGTTGAGATTCTAGCATTGCTGGGGTTTGGACTAGATGACCCTCGGGGTCAGTGCCAGATTTACATATAAGCTAAACAAGCTATAGCTTAGGGACCCACTATTTTGGGGGGCCCCAAAAAAAATTAAAGGGGGAAAAAACCCTGGATGTACATTTCCAAAATATAAGATAAAAAACAAATAAAAGAAAACTTGCATACAGCAACAGTATGTATTACTAATTGTTTCACTGTTAATATACTTCTTCTTAATTGTATTTCAGTTCAACAATTACTTTGATAAAATACATATTTTGTTATGTGCAAATGGCTTTATATACCTATTAGGTCCATAAATTACCATATAGCATACATTCAACACAAAAAACAGCGACACTTTGTTGTTGACAAAGGACAGCTGGACATGTAAAGGGCCCCATTACCTTCAGTAGCTTAGGGCTTCATCAAACCTAAATCTGGCCTTGCTCAGGGTCCCTTCCAACTCTCCAGTTCTATGGTTTTATGTCCTGTCTTTTTTTTACCATGGAACTCAAGGTGTTATTTCCTGGCAGTCACCCATCTAGACACTGCCTAGTCTCAGACCTACTTAACTTCAGTGTCATGGGCTTTCAGACCATACACTGGGGACCACTTGCCTGGGAAAGAAGCAGGACATGTGGTGGTGAGATATTCAAGAGCCTGATATCCATGAAGATGTGGTCCATGACTAGTAAATGTAGCACACACACGTAATTACAGGTAATAAACACACACACACACACACACACACACACACACACACACATTGCATGCATTGTATTGTGCATGTGGGGTGTCATGTGCCCAAAGACTGGGGTGGGATCTGTTCCACAACTGTACACTGTGTGAGATAAGGGTTTTTTCTCCTCTAATGGCTTCTAATCTCTTCTAGCAGTGCAGAGCTCCATTTCATTCATTTATTCACTTATTTTGCAGGGTCCTCCAGGCAGCTTACAAGATGGAATTCTATAGACAAATCATTCTAAATCCACCATAAAACAACAAATAAAACAATTAAAAGCAGCAAAAGGCAGCTTCTAAAGCTGCTACAGCCACGACAGCTTCAGTACTCTGAAGGCCCTCAATTAACCCAGCCTTTTTGCTGACATAAGAGCTAAGAGATTGGGCCTGGCTGGCTCCCTGAGTGAGTGAATTCCACATAAAGCGAACCAATGTTCCTTCTGGATTGGATTGGAAGAATGAAATAATTTACCTTGTGTAATGTCTTCATGTCAACTGTGACAAAGCATCCTGCCTCCACTTGGATACTGAAGCTTCAAGATGGACCATATCATTCTGATCACCAATAGAACATGTTGAAGATACATCACCAGCTTCTTGAGAGTGAGAATATTGGCTGCATTCAGGGATTTTGGATCTCAAAAAAGTATCTATTGGATTGCATCTCTTCAAAATAAAAGAATTTTCTTAGGATTGAGCAAAAATGCTTTGATTAAAGGGAGATGTCATGGAGCTTTTTCAGATCAGGATTCACAGGCATCTGGAAAAGGTGCAGAACTCAAGAAAAATATTTAATGGAAAGAACAATATGCACATTATCCCCCACCATCTCACAACAATAAGGTAAAGCCAGCCTAAAGGTAAAGGTAAAGGGACCCCTGACTATTAGGTCTAGTCGTGGCTGACTCTGGGGTTGCAGCACTCATCTCGCTTTATTGGCTGAGGGAGCCGACGTACAGCTTCTGGGTCATGTGGCCGACATGACTAAGCCCCTTCTGGCAAACCAGAGCAGCACACGGAAACGCCGTTTACCTTCCCGCCAGAGTGGTACCTACTTTATCTACTTGCACTTTGACATGCTTTCGAACTGCTAGGTTGGCAGGAGCAGGGACTGAGCAATGGGAGCTCACCCCGTCGCGGGGATTTGAACCACCGACCTTCTGATTGGCAAGTCCTAGGCTCTGTGGTTTAACCCACAGCGCCACCCGCGTCCCTTTAAAGCCAGCCTAGTACCCACCAAAATTGTACAGAAATTCTATAGTTTCCTGCAAATGAGGCAACAACCACAACCACCCATATGTGTGTGTTTTTTCCCCACATGGGAAGAACATGGGAAGAATGTAAGTAATCCACTAGAAGTGTATTTGTCATAATATAACTATTTCCCTACAGCAGTAAAAAGACATAAGGTTTAGCCGAATATCCATAATTCCCATGGGGTATGATTATCTACTGACAACCATCCTCTAGATTTGCCATGCTGCTATCATAAAAAGTCTGCATTGTGCAAGATAATGGAGCTTAATTTTCTAAGAGATAAAATCAGTTTGACGCCAGTTTCAGTGTGTTGGCATTGTGTGGCAATGTAATCATTTGACTATTGGACAGCCAATAGGAAGTCTCACCCCAGTGGTTCAGTGGTAAAGCTTAGACGATACAATCAATGTAATCTGAGGGCACATTAAAATGGAAATTTGGAACAACAGAAAGCTTACGTTTAGTGCCTGTTCTCCGGCATGTTGAGAGAGCCATCTCTGTTTCTGAAAGGAATAGGCACTTGGTTGTGGCCAAAGATTCTGCCACAACTTTTCAGATCACACATTTTAACTGATTGATTGTTTAGGAGGTGGGGAGGTAGACAGGGTGTGTTTTATGATTTTTTGTTGATATCTCCTAACATTTCACAAATGAAAATATGGACAGCGTTGTATGCATGTGCCACGTTGATAGTCCTGCAAAGAATCACTGCCTGAATACTCTCCTAGCATCTTGCTTAGTTCAGGGCTAGAGCAATGCTTTGTTTGCCAAAGGTTCCAAGTGCAATCTCTGCAGAGGCCTAAGAAACACCCTTGTGGGGCAAGACACTGCCAGTACTCAGATCACTGAGGTAGATGGACAAATTGTCTGAGTTTGATAAAGCTTCCTCTGTCCTTATCTTTAACTCTCGTCTTGACTTGATTCTTCACTGTACTCCATGTATATGCAAATAAACCTATCAGCTCCTTTATTGCATTCATTCATCTCATGGAGGCTCTTGTCTCCGAAACCTCGTGCCAATGTAACCCACTTAAGGTGCCACAACACTCTTTGTTTTCCTCAGCAGGTTGTGACAAGCCGAAATAATATTAACCTTATTGAGAAATGGTGCTAACCATGGAAAACAGCAGTGCTTTCATGTTCCCCCTCAATATTTCATAAAGCGCATCTCATAACATGCTCAAAGTTTGCTGTTACAGTGAAATGTGAAATTAAATACATGCTGATGTTTGCCACAAAGTAGAAACCGTGCAGCATTTCCTATAGGCAGGCGAGGGAATAGTTGTGGGGAATCTGATACGGTTTTGCAGTAACTGTTATGACATTGATGTAATTTTAATGGCACTTGGTTTTAATTATAAATATGCTGCATGACTTGGAGCCATCCAATGAGAAAAGCTGGCAAGCTCAGCCTTGGTTTTTCCACCTTACATGGGAAGAATGATCCAGATCATTAAATTTAAATGGCCCAAAGCAGGCCACTTGTTTGCTCATTTGGCATTCCTGCTTGCAAATGGAGCTTTGCGTGGGGATGGCTTCTCTTTGCATTGTGATGTGCTGTACTTGGAATGTGCCAGCCCTCAAGAAAAGTTGATTAGTTAAAGCGGCCTGTTGCTTGTGGAGGCCCAGCAAGCAGAACACTCCTGTTTGGACAAAAGACAAGGGAGATGCCCTTGAACAGGGGTAATTCACAACTGCTGGATTAACTTTCTAAAATTTGGGCAATGATACAAGTTGGCAAGAAAGGAAGAACATGAGAAAGGTGACAGTGTTCAGACGGTGCACGGTTTTGCATTGGCCAAGGGAATCTTCCTTCCCCTTCCTTTGTCTGTAGCTAAATCTGCAGTGCAATTGAGTTTTTGCTCTTTGTTTTATATCCTTGACCTTCTTTGCCTATGGCTAAAGATAGAGGTTGTTGGCACAGAATGTCGGTATATTTATATCAGCTGCTTTCCCTAAACAATTTTGCTTCCCCAGTAATTATTACTGGTGAATAGCAATGCAGCTGCAGTTAAAAGTTGTATCAACATTTTCCTTTAAAAGAGAAAAAGAAATTCTGTGGAGTATCTATGGAGCTGTATAAAGTAATGAGAGACAGCAAAATAAATGGGCCAGCATGTTAATTATGTTTGCAGCACTGCTTCCCCACAAAAAAGCTCCTGCAGTATTTTTAAACGGGGCTTGTAAAACACAAAGGTTCCCTCTTAAGAGTCACACCTGTGTTTTAAGCCAAGCAAATATGTGTCTGCGCACACATGCAGCAGTGTGGTTTGTGTGTGTGTGTGTGTGTGGCAATACAGTTGTGATGCTATTGAGTGAAGAAAACAGAATGGGCATTGCTTGAATTACAGAACTAAGCCACTGCACATGACTCTTAGTGGGCTACCGCTTTCGTTGCATGTTTTTATAGCAAACATCTTATGTGTCTCAGACATAGAATCATAGGATCATAGAACTGTAGAGTTGGAAGGGACCCTGAGGGTCATCTAGTCCAACCCCTTTGCAAGGCAGGAATAATTAGCTGTCCCATACAGGGATCAAACCTGCAACATGGCGGTTATCAGTACCACGACTCACATTGACAGAGTGGGGACAATACTCAGTTTGGTAGCTTAAGTGCCAATCAGGGCTGAACTGGAACTAGGGCCCTCTTGTGTAATTCAGGGCTCATCCACACTTCCGCTTTCCCTCTACTTTCCCCTGGGAAAACCCACTGGAAACCTGAATTGCTGTTTGCTCCGACTGAGCACTAAAGAGCACGTTCCCCAAGGGAAAGCAGAGGGAGAAGAGGAAGTATGGATAAGCCCTAAGGCTACCTAGTAAAGAAAAGATGGAGGTTTTATTTTAAAGAAAGACTTGTCTCTTCAAAGCAGAACTCTTAGTTCCTACACCAGCTCTAATCCTAAACACATAGTTTGCTTTTATTTCCTAAGGTTACATTATCTTGATATGGAATGCTTTCAAATATATTTATGATTTTTAAAATAGTATGAAAGATATGCATATTGCAAGATAGATAGAAATAGATATGATTTACATATGTAGCTTATAGACAGTTTTCACGAGGCTCCCACCCACCACCCATATGGTGTGACAGGCGGGACTGGGAGCTGGTATGTTCAAGTTGTGAAGATGAACATACTACAGATGAAGACCCTTTTGTGACTGACTGCTCCTAAAATCCTACATCTGTCTTCACCCTAAACTATATATTATTTACACCTTCTGCAATGCAGAGAATTATAAAAGCCTTAGCATAATCCCCCCCCAAAAAAGGAACTCTTAAAAGAGCATTTTCTGTTAAGATGAGGCTTGAGTTACAGTCTTGCAGAGCATAATGGGATAATCAGTACAGAGTCTGAATTACCCAGATGTGAGCATTACATTATGAATCCCCAGATCTTAGCAGGGAGAGAGAGCATTTGAAACAGAGAATGGGAAAGTTGGCAGGGAAACAGATAGCAAAAGAATACACGGTCAATGAAGTAAAGATTATCATCAGGACTTCATTTCTTACAGGAGGCTTCAATATGGCTCTAGTCACTCTGTAAGAACATGGTTTATAGGCTGCAATAATGCTTTGAAGCTTTCTACAAGCTATGTAATATATATACACACCTAAATCCCAAAGATGCACCACTGTGTATTTTCCACTTTCTACTTAATCTCAGGAAATTCTAAACCGAGGGGGGGAAAGAGAGCGCCCGCCTTTTCATCCACTACGGCTGCAATCTTCCATGTAAGAATGACACTCGGAAAACTCGCATGCAGCAAGATTGTGTAGCACAGCTGTGAGCTGAAAAGACGTCTGGCTTAGAAGAGCAGCCAGCAGCCTGATATCACATATGTCCTGTAAGGCGGTACCATTTTGAGCTGCAGGTGGGGAAATGGATGGCTTGAATTCTCTCCCCACTCCCACCCCCCACTAATGCTCTTCATATTCCTGTACTACAACTAGTACAACTAGTTTAACAGAAGGGTGATTGATTGACAGTAAAGGGCTAGCACTCTGCTCAGCCCTTGAAAGTGGACTTTTGGGTAGATCCACTCCATGCTCTCCATGCCACAGACGAGATTAGAAGGGGGAGGGATCTTGTGCATTTGCAACATCCCTCTCCTCCCATCAATGGTCACCTGCTAAGCCTGCCTCCTTTCATTACACACTGTTGTATCCTGAAGTATCTTCCTTTGCTTGGGACAATTTGTTTAACACAGGATTGGGAAAGAATGAAAATTGTAGTCCAGTCACACCTGCAGGGTTACAGGTTCCCCATCCCTTTATCATGATTTATGATTTTGCTATTTATGTATTTCTAAGTGTGGGCTATTTATATTCTCTGAACTACTTTGAGCACAAATTTGTGAAACATGCAGAATATAAATGAATGGATTAGTTGACAAGCCATACAAATAAATACCTACCCTGCATGTAAAACCTTATTTGGGTTCACGTCAGGGAAAGCCCACATCACGAAGCATCTCAGGGCTAAACTACATGTTACTTCAATCACATAGTTCCCCCTCAAGAAATTGCCAGTGTTGCCTTCACCCACTCCTGATCTGGAATGGGACCCTAGTGTGGAGGACAGATGGTTTTGGCCCAGGTCCAGGTGACCTCACTGCACCTGCTATTTGGGTGAGGGAAAGCCCACAATTTGGTCCAATTGCTTCCATCACACAAATAATAAACACAAATAGTCAAAGAGAAATCAGTGTTCCTCCAGTCCAGTGGGCACGATGCCTTAACTTTAATAACAGTGTCTCCGAAAAATCTTACACATCACTTGGGAAGACAGGCGAACAAATATCTGTGTACTGGATGAAGCAAAGATCACCAGTGTTGAAGCAATGATTCTTCAACATCAACTTCGTTGGACTGGTCATGTTGTGCGGATGCCTGATGATCGTCTTCCAAAGCAACTACTCTATTCCGAACTTAACAATGGAAAGCGTAATGCTGGTGGTCAACAAAAGAGTTTTAAAGACTGTCTCAAGGCAAATCTAAAAAAATATAGTATAAACACCGACAACTGGGAAACACTGGCCTGCGAGCCCTCCAGTTGGAGAACAGTCTTTACCAAAGGTGTCATGGACTTTGAAGACACTTGAACTCAGAACGCAAGGGAGAAACATGCCAAGAAGAAGGCACACTTGGCAAACCCTCACCATGATCAATTCCCGCCCGGAAACCTATGTCTCCACTGTGGTAGGATGTGTGGATCCAGAATTGGCCTCCACAGTCACTTACAAACTCATTGTTAAAACCGTGTTTATGGAAGGCAATCTTACTCGGCTACAAGTGATCGCCAAAGAAGAAGAAGAACTTTAATACAGAAAACATCATTGTTGGATTCCAAATTAATCAGTCACGAAGAACTACAGCTACTCAATTAGATAGTCACTATCAAAGCCATGGATTCGTAGAGGAACTGCATGCTTCTGGGCCAAATCCAGCTAATTGGGGGCGTGGGGCAATGCATGATCTCCCCACTTGCCAAAAGAATGAAAAGGGGCTATGGAGGGAATAGCAGACTCAGGAGTGCTAGCTAGTCATTTTGGAGGATTGGAATTAAGGCCTTGTCCTCCCCGCCGACCTTAGTTTCTTATCAGGAGGTGAGGATGGCCCCATGAACAGGGCGATTAGAGAGCATTTAGAGTTAACTAATCTATTCAATTTAAAAGACTATGTACCCTTGTGATAATTCTGATGTGAGGCTGTAGCTTATAACCATTGATCAGCTGGGGTAGCTTAACCCCTGTATTTTAAAAAAGAGAAACCTCCCCCCGTGTATGGATGCTTCATACCATGACACATTCAAGCACAAAATTTCACCTTTTTTATTTTCTGTAATCTTTTTCGCACCGTCTGGACTGAATATTGTCTTTTAGAGCACTGCCTTGCAAACCTCCTGCTGATTTCTTACTTTGGCGCTAAAGCAAAAGCAAATGTCAAGCAACCCAAGTCATAAACTTGTAGATGTTGCAGTATTTATATACTAATGCTTAGACGATAGGATTCAATTATCGACATTTGGAAGAGGCATCCTTTTTGCTGCCGCATAATACTACTCTCAAAAAACTGTTAGGTCCGAGAAAGCGGGGGTGGGGGGCATTATGGGTCTGAACTTCATAGTAATTAGTAGTAGCAATTGCTATCTTCCCACTCTCCACCTGTGAAAAGTCTCTATAGGGTACATGAATTTGATTAATGTAAAGTTGAGAACATTTGTTCCTTTTTTGGTATACAAAATCACCATCTGTGCAAAGAAGCAAAGACCTCTGTTAACAGATTTCAGTCTAGGATGCCAACTTTTTTTAATTTTAATAGGATTGGAGGGGGGCAATTGCTACCCCGTACCACCCCTGGTGGAGTATACAGGGTTCTGGGGGCGGGGCAGAGTGGGCGGGGCATAGAAACAATAAATCACATGGTAGAAAGGGTTCAACGGCCATTCATTTAGCACCCCCAACAAGTGACCATCTGTAGCTGGTGGGCTCCATTCAGCATTCTGGGTGACAGGTGGTCCCAGCCTGGTTTCTATCTTGTCATATGAACAATTACCCGCTTCCCTTTTCTAATATGGTGCAAGTACTCAGAGCTCTGTCACATTTCATTCCATCGGGATAATTGCATTTGCCAAGCTTTTTACTACACTTCTCCATTCTATTTCCCAAAGTGTGCGTCTGGGAAATCAAGCGGAAACAGAAATGTTATTATTGGTAAACCATTATAATACTGACACCATGTAAAAAGAAGCTGCTCTGAATAGCAGGGTGATGTCGCTGGAAGTCGAAGGGGTGGGGAACTGAGACGCTGCCTGATGCACCAGCCTGACAGAAAATGAAACTGTTTTAAACCACGGCCCTGATTCTACCAAGTTCACTCAGAGTCCCACACGAAGTGAACCAGAGGGTGTTACTATTCAAAAGATAAAAACCCATCAAGTTTGAGAGAGGAGGTGGAACGTTCCTCTTAGACATGGGTAGGCAAACTAAGGCCCAGGGGCCAGATCCAGCCCAATCGCCTTTTAAATCCGGCCCCTGGACGGTCCGGGAATCAGCGTGTTTTTACATGAGTAGAATGTGTCTTTTTATTTAAAATGCATCTCTGGGTTATTTGTGGGGCATAGGAATTTGTTCATTTTTTCCCCTTCAAATATAGTCCGGCCCCCCACAAGGTCTGAGGGACTGTGGGCCCCCTGCTGAAAAAGTTTGCTGACCCCTGCATCTTAGATTAGGCTCCTGGCTTTGTGTGTGTGTGTGTGTGTGTGTGTGTGTGTGTGTGTGTGTGTATTGGGGGACGGCAGTGGACATTCAACACTTTGAATTGTGCTCAGAAATGTACTGTGAGCCAATGTAGGTCTTATGTGGTTTCGGCGGCCGCTCCCCGTCACCAGTCTAGCTGCCACATTCTGGATTAGTTGTAGTTTCCAAGTCACCTTCAAAGGTAGCCCCACGTAGAGCGCATTGCAGTAGTCCAAGCAGGAGATAACTAGAGCATGCACCACTCAGGTGAGACAGTCCATGGGCAGGTAGGGTCTCAGCCTACGTACCAGATGGAGCTGGTAGACAGCTGCCCTGGACACAGAATTGACCTGGGCCTCCATGGACAGCTGTGAGTCCAAAATGACTCCCAGGCTGCACACCTGGTCCGTCAGGGGCACAGTTACCCCATTCAGGACCAGGGAGTCCCCCACACTCACCCGCCCCCTGTCTCCCAAAAACAGTACTTCTGTCTTGCCAGGATTCAACCTCAATCTGTTACAACCTGCTGTTAGTCTGCAAATTTCTAGGTGACCCCTGTAATCATGGCAGATTTCTTATTGTCCTCTTTTATTATTTGATTTGAACACCAATTCAGGAAAATGACTTTTATTTTTAGTTTAGCTGGAGGCAGTGTATGCTAATTGTAGGAGCAATCAACTGGGAGATGAATACCTATTTAATTTTTGCTAGTGTGTTACTCTGGAACCTAGTTTAAGGGGGCAATACTATGGCAAGATCTGCTGGCATGAGCAGCTTAGGGCACAACAAATCTCCAGCTCAGGTGACCCATTCCAAGCTCAGCCAGCGTTAAGTCCACAACCCCAGCTCAGCCTAAGGCGTAACTTGCTCAGCCAAAACGGCAGCTCACAGTAAGCCCCCCAAAAGTGGTGTTCCAGGGTAATTGGGGGTGGGGGAAGTTTGGCTAGATTCAAACGTGTTTAGTTCAATCACGTGATCTGGCAACCACATAAAACACTATTTTAAAAGCTTGCTTTCCTTCTACCAGGTTTAAGGAGAAAAGTACGAGGAGCCCCACAGCAAAACCTTGTAACCTGGTGTTCTGGTATTAAGTTAAACCCCATATTTAAGCTAGTGTTGTGCCTATGTTCTGCCAAGCGATCACATCAAGGTGAAATGTTGGGGTTGTGTCACACAAATCATCAGAGCCGTCTTTCCCATTGGGCTTAGTGGTTCATTGCGCCAGGGCGCCGGCCTCTCTGGGGCGCCCCTGAGAGTGGGGGAGCTGCGTGGCTTTGCCGGTGGCCTCCCCTTTCCTTGCACGCCCGCCAGCTGTGCCCCACCAACCATATGGCTGGGGGACATGCAGCTTGCCTCCCCAGTCCCTGGGGGTTTCGCTCTCCTCCCGCGGAGGCTTGGGAAGGAAGCTGCACGCCTGCCAGCCATATAGTTGGGAGGGTACAGCTTCCTTCCCAAGCCTCCGTGGGAGGAGAGTGATCCCCACAGAGGCTTGGGGAAAGGTCAACAACTCTGGGAAACGGGGGGTGGGGCGCCGGAGGGATCTTTGCACCACGGCGCCGGATATGCTTAAGACGGCCCTGCAAAACATCACCCTGACTGTGTCATGACTTCACTTCTTTTGTAACTTTCACAGACTTTGCAGCTCACAGAAAATCTTATTGCAGTGCATTAAGGGAATTTTCCCCACATTGCCTGAAGAGCAACACAAGTGCCCTTCTCTTCCTCAAAACCAGACAGCCAAGCACCAGAGATTAGGAGAGAGTTGTCCAGATGACCAGGTCGCTCATTGGATGAGCAAGGAGGAATCGGTAGCTCCCTTCCTTGGATGATGCGTGTCAAGCATTTGATGAGCAGGAAGCAGCAATACAGGGATCAGCTCAGCAAGGGGAAGCTGCGTGTTTCTCTGTGTGTGAGGATGCATGTGCACCCTTATTGTGCATGTGTCACACCCATACTGACCCCAGAGGGTCAGCCAAGGGTGAATGCCACCCTCATATGAAAAAGGTTAGCCATTCCTGGCTTAAATATTAATACAACAAACTTGTTTCCTTTTTTTAAAAAAATACAAAGCTAAGGCCGTCTTAGTGTACTAAAGCTAAATTCTCCAAGCTGAGGGACTTAGCCTGGTGCCTGGAAGCCAGTGGGATATTGGTCCTCTTGCGAAAACACCATGCAGTCCTTTTGCTGTGCGGTTGTGGAATCACTTAGGGTGTCCCTGAAGACAGCAGCAAACATTTCCTTATCTCATTTCTCAGCTCAGTTCTGCAATTTGAACCATTATGCTTCCCATTTTGAAGAAGAACCAATGTATGCATATCACTCAAGGGCAACAGTCTTCATTACTTTCCCCTTGATGACTGAAAGTGTTAACCAGCTCTACTGAAAAGCACTGTGTGTGCCCCAAGATGATGTGGACATCCTATCTGGGCTTGATGGCCTAGTAAAAAAATGCGAGCCGACTCTTGAAGTTGCAGTTTTCAAATCATGAACATGGATGTGTAAATCAGACCATATGCTATGAGAAACATTCCTAGCAGAGGTAATGATTAAGCTGAGGACTGAGATTAAAGGTACATCTATCTCAAAGGTGAATCCGCTGGGATAATTGAAATTTCGGCACAATTTAAATATGGATGCTGAGCACATTATCCATGTGAATTACCATGTACCAGCCATTTAATTTAAATTGGATCTTCTTGCTTGTGTGTGCCATATTAGGATGCCAGTATAGTTCCTGCCCAGGCCAGAGCCCTGGCATGCTAACAAGCCATATGCAAGGTAGGCCATCTGGATGAGTGCAGAAGGTCTTATCTATCACCTTTTTTTTATTACTGGAGTTCAGGCATGAATGCCAATGCTTTTGTTAGGCAGACTGACACCCCCCATGCACAAAAAGGAAGGTACCAACAGACTCAGGAGCTGTGAGCATACTCAGTGGCCATGAAATAGTCACAGTCTGCTAGCAGGTGTGGAGGAAGGAGTAATGGAAAACTATGTGGGAGGAGGACTGAAATGGAGTATGCTGGCAGAGGGCATGGCTGACTCTCCAAAATGAGCAGTGAACTGGAGCATTCCACAGGCAACAGGCTGTTGCAGATCTCATTTGTTGGTCTGTACCAGGAGTAGGAAATGTGGTGCTCCACCAAATGTTGTTAGACTACAACTCCCATCATTTGTCACCACTGGCCATTATGGCTGGTGCTAATGGGTGCCACATTGCACCCATCTGGTCTATACTGTGAATGCCCATTGCTTTGCATTATGTGGCAGTATGAGCCCTGCCCTTGGATGAATCGGGCCAAAAGTCCATGAAATCCAGCATGGTGTCAGCCAATGCCTCTGGGGAGCTCAGAAGCAGGACTTACAAGGCAACCCAAACTTCTGCCGGTTTGTCCTCCCATCTAGTATTCTGATCTGCCTTTGAATGTGTAGGTTCCACTTAGCCATCACAGCTAATAGCTGTTCACAGAGCTCGGCGTATGTATGCATTATGGATTTTTCTTTTCTGCACCCCAAAGATTACTGCAACTTTTCAAAGAAGTGAAATAAAGAATGACAACCTTGATTATCTAGCAAAAACATAATTGTATTATATTATGTGAGAAGTGTTTGGAGATGGTGTACAAGATAAACAATAAGACTGAAGGGTAATTACCACATTATTATTCTGGCAGATGTGTGCATGCCCAACCCTGGCAAGGTTTGGTCCCAAAGGAATATTTCAAATTCTCTGGGAGCTGAATTTATGGCAGCCTGATTGATTGCTTATCCTGTTGAAATTATAGCAGGATGCTTTCTTTCTTTCTTTAGCTATGATCTGTCCATTGAACGGCGCTGTTCATTACCAGGGTGACATGCCGATTCCACATTCCTTTGCGTTTTTGCAAAATGTCACAACAATATTTAACAACTGTGGCAGAGTGAGGAATGAGAGAAAGCTGGGCAGTTCAGAAGAACCGAGGCACTGAATGTGGATGGTAGGCAGGGAACAGGGGGGAAAGGAGTTTCTCAAGCTTCTGGTTCAGGAAGCACCCAGTTTGGCCAAATGGATATCGGTGGCACACTTCACTCTTGCAGTTGAGGAGCTGGCTGATCAGATATGTACCTTGTGGTTGGAAAGAGACAAGCTGAAAGCAGCAGCTGCTGCTGTACAGACCACACAAATTCCAGGTATATACACACCACTGCTTCAGCCAATCACAGTTCCCTAATACTTGAGCAATACTTGTGTCTTCAGATACCTGTTCATTGTATTCCCATCTTGCATGTTTAGACTTACAAAATCTTAGATGTACTCTGAAATAATTGTGTGAACTAGCCATTTACATGGTCATTCATCTACATTTATTAGTGGCTGACTGATGCCTTTCTGTTGTTTTCCTCACTTCTCCCTGTTAGGTCCCCCTCTATATACTGCTCATCATTTCTTTTTGATGCATCTGCAGAGGGCAGTTCTGCCAGCAGGACTCCTAGCCAGCACCCAAAAAAGGAAGGTTCAGTGTCCTTGTTTTACCTGCAGGCACTTTCCTTCAAGTGACAGCCAAAAGACAGAGCCTTGGGGGTGTCATCTGTTGTTTGGCTATCAGTTACTGGCTGCAGCAGAAGGGATGGTAGGAGGTTAGAAGGCCAGACTTTTGTAGAATCCCCAAATCGACGTTATAATAAAGGTCCTTCCACATAATAGATGTTTTTTGTTTGATTTGCTTTCTAACACCAGGTGTTTTACTTAGCACTGTCTCTGCACGAAGTCCATAACTGAAAGCAGAGGCCCAGGGAATGCTGGACACAGTATCAAAATGGGACAGAAGACTTTGATTGTGTTTTGCAAGCTGTTAAGAATATAAGAAATGCCCTTCTGCAACCAGGGCCTGTGTGGCACGTTTTGCTGATGGCACAAGATGGCACCCCATCCCCACTGCACATACAGAGCCCACTTCAATGGTAGCAACAGGATTAGGTTAAAAAAAAAAAAAAAGGAACCCTGGACGGTTAAGTCCAGTCAAAGGCAACTATAGGGTTGTGGTGCTCATCTCACTTTCAGGCTGAAGAAACCGGCATTTGTCCACAGACAGCTTTCCGAGTCATGTGGCCAGCATGACTAAACCACTTCTAGAGTAATGGAACACAGTAATGGAAGCCAGAGCACACGGAAACATTGTTTAGCTTCCCGCCACAGCGGTGCCTGTTTATCTACTTGCACTGGTGTGCTTTCGAACTGCTGGGTTGGCAGCAGCTGGCCCCCACCGCACCTGATTGCAGTGGAGTAGTCATTGGGGTGGAGGATAGGCCACTGGCACACATAGCTCTGTCCTTCAAAAGAAGCGTTGCAGCCAGGGGAATCAGAAAAGGTGGGAGGCTGCATCTATTGCCCCTGGCACCTGTGACCTGATGCACCCCCTGTCGTAGTCCCGTGCTGCCCAGCCACGGCAGAGCTCAATGGCAGGAGAGGCCAGCCAACCAGCAAAGAAAGGCTCAGGGGGGGTACTTGCTGGAGGCAAAGTCGGTATGCAAAGTTCAGTCTAGTCTTAAGGTCATGAGTATCTCAGTTCCCGTAGTCAGATGGTCTGGGGGTCAAGGAAGCCAAGAGTCCAAGGTCACAAGAAGCAGCAAGATCTAGCCAGGCGATGTAAGGAACAGATAGGAACATACTACCATATGTGGTGGTCCTGTCTAGAGATACAAAGGTTTTGGAACATGATTTATGAAGAGATAAAGAGATTGATAAAAACTACATTTAGCAAGAAACCAGAAGAATTTTTACTAGGAATAGTTTCAGATAATATTCCCCAAAACAAAACTAGGCTATTTATGTATGCAACGTCAGCAGCAAGGGTTATAGTGGCAAAACACTGGAAAGATAAAAATACACCCACTAAAAAGGAATGGGTAGTCAAATTGTGCAAGTACTTGGAGCTCGCAAAGCTGACAGATGCAATAAGAGATAAACCTTAAAAATTGGTGAAAGAAGAATGGGAATGTTTAAATAATTATTTAGGGGACAAGGGCTAAACAAGAAAGATATGGCTATGTTTAGAATGATACCGCATAGAGAAATGTTCCCTGATACCAAGATGAGGGATTCCTTTGGAATGCAGATAGAGTTAATTGATAAGAATAATGATCTGTTGTGAGCTTGACGGAAGTGTATAATAGATGAGCTTTCCTGCTTTGGCTCATCTTCCTTTTTCTTTTTCTTTTTTCTTTTCTTTTATCTTTTCTTTTATCTTTCCCGTAGTTGCTTATGTTCTGTGTCATGTACTTCGATATTTTTTGTACTTTTTTTAGTCCCCCCCCCATTACTATTAAGGAATTTTCCTTTGTAATTTTGGTTGTCTATATTTATATGTACCTGTTTAAAGCAAAATAAAAGTTTAGAGATAGAGATAGAGATAGAGATAGAGATAGAGATAGAGATAGAGATAGAGATAGAGATAGAGATAGAGATATATAGAGATAGAGATAGAGATATAAAGATCTAGCCAGGAACAACAAATGTTGTTTCCAGCAACTGACTGAGGCTGGAAACCCATCTTAAGAAAGCTGGAGCCAGCTGGTTCACATCAGGACCAAGAAGGCCGATCAGCAGCAGGTGGAGTCACACTGCCTTCTGCTTCTTCAGCCTGCTGCTCAGCAGGTAAAGAAACTCCCCTGATTCTGCCAAATGGCAGACCAAACACCCATCAAGTCCAGCACTCTGTTCCCTGTAGTGATGAGCCACTTGCCTCTAAAAGGCTCAGAAGCAAGGCAGATCGCAAAAGTCCTTCCCTGATGGTATATGGCCAGATATACTGCCTTTGTCTACACAAGTCCCCCTTAGGTTAACTATTATGTTTAATTGCCATTTGTGGCAAAAGGGTGCTATGTGAAAGCTGTAGCATTATCACTGAACACTTTTAGACTCCACAGTGTTCTTTCTCAGGGAAGTATAAATGCTTTGGCCGTAAAGTGTGGCTTCTCCCTCTCACTGCCTCCTTTACTGAGCCCACGCAATAAGTCAGTTTTGGGAACTAAATTTCTCACTTCCAACAGATGTGTGGAAAGAGTGGCATTTGTAGGAACAGGTCTTGCCAGAAAGTAGGACCAAGTTGTTGGCCTCCTACTGCCTTCTCAGACTGTCTCTATGGGGACAAGTGATGACCATTTAGTGGTAACCATTTAGCCAATCTTCAGATGCTCACTTTTTCTAAACCTTTTCCATTTCAGGAGAACTGACACTTAGTTTCATAATTAAATATGGATTGCAACTGTGCCTGTCTTGATCTCTTGTGCTCATTAGATGTTAATCATAAGAGAAGTGAATTTCTTCTCCTTCCACCAGGTTTTGTACAAGGTGAGGTCAAGTACTACAGTGTTTTGAAGGACAGTCATTGATCTTTGCCCATCATAACGCACTCCTGGCTTGCAAGCAGCTTGCATGATTGACAGGGGTATCTGATCCAGACTGACCTGGTCCCTAGTGAGAATGCACCAGAAAGGGCCTCGTGGAGGAAATGTTGTGACATATTGTACATTGAAAGAACCATCTGCTGACAACCTTTGTTGCCTTTCAGATGCACACCAGCATTTCACTGGGGACTTCTGTTGAATGGTCCCTTCGCAGAGGTCAGGAAAGAGCTCCGATCTCTGATGATGATCTTTTAAAAGTAATGTGCCCCCAAGTGCCTGAACTTGTAGAGGCAGCTGCAGGGAAACAAAGGTAAGGATAGGGTTTCTTCTTCTTCTTACCTAACTATAATTGCAGAATAAAAGAAAACTTAAAATATTACAGCACACCCAGATATTTAAAATATTTCCAGCATGTTATTGGTGCATTATAATTTCTTTATTACAAGGATGCTCATTTGATGGTCCCATGGGCAGTCCTAGCCCATGAATTTTATTTGCAAGCCCTGCCCATTGATTTAACCCAGCAAATATTTAATCCTATAAACCTTTGAGTCCACACCCAAACACCAAAAGGTTCAAAATGTTTGATCTTTAAACATGGTAAGCATCTAGTAAAGACATTTTTTGGCCCAGGTGTTTCCTGACTCTTAAAGATTGGTCCTTGTTGTGTTTATCTTTAAAAGAAAGATTGCCCCATGTTGTCCCCGAATTCTAGTTTTTAATCACATTTTTATTGGCTTTTATGTTATAGATCGGTTTTTATGATACTATTTTATTTTTCATGTATTCTCCTTAGAGATTTTATATACAAAATATTAAGCCATTTATAAAAGCTTTTAAATAAAATAAAATGTGTGTAAGACAGAATACATGTTTTAATGTCATCTTTCTCTGAGTTTTGTATGACATTCCTCAACAGAGAGCCATACAGATTTATATTGTGAGGACTGATAATCTCTGAACACTATCTGAAAAACAGATCACCTCTTTCAAAATTATAGTTAGTTTGGTTTTTTGTTATAAGACAAGCCAAATTCAGCAGTCAGAATAAATTATGTAACTGACAATAGTATATTAGACTTTATTTCCTTGCTTTCTTTTGCATAAAATGGAATCTTTTGTCAGAAATTGCAGTGGTGAAGGGAGATATCTGACTCCTCAAGTATTGGTGGACCTTGGGCTGCGATAGTAGACGTTGGCTCAGTACAGGGGCAGACCATGGTGTAGATTGGTGGGCGACAACATGTGGCACCATTGTGAAAGCTTCTGCACTGGCAGCCCATATACTACTGAGCCACGTTCAGGACCCTTATATTAATTTACAAATCCCTGAACAACTTGTGTCACCTTCGGGATTGCCAGAACTCTTATATCTCAGGTTAGTCATCGGCAGGAGTGTCATTGGTTGTCCCCTGAGCTGGTGATGTCGAGGTTCATTTGACATGGATATGAAACTGGGTCTTTAGTGTAGTCCGCCTTGACCTGCAGCGTATTCTTCCAATAGAGGGTCAGCAGTCATATTCTATTTTAACCTTCAAATGTTTGCTGAAAACTGCCAGGCTTATGCAGACGATTAGGAGAATATTTTTTGGAACAGTTAGCTGAAGAGCTCTGATTTTAACTTTTATGTGGTTTTTATTGTGTGTATGTATTTTTGTATGAAATTGCTTTGATTTTTTAATGAAATTGTGGTACATAAATATTTTTATAAATGAAAGAACAGTTAAAACTGTGTGAGGGGTAAAGGCAGATGAAAGGGGAAGACCCTAAGCAAAGAAAAACCTCAGAAATAATGTCAGAAAAATGTCCCAGAAAAAGTTTTGGCTCAGCTCTACTGGTCTTTGTTTATTATATATACACTGTCAATGATTTTCTACATGTTCGGCTTGAGTAGGAACATCTTGCTTTACTTTACATTTCTTGTATGAGATGGCATGTCTGCAAATTTCACTTTCATGCGAAATGTCAGTAGCAACTCGGGAATAGGCAAGGGGGAAATGTCTCACAATGACCCTCATCACCACCTAAAGTAATGGGTGAATCATTGCTAAGTTCAGGCACAAGGAGACTTAAAGGTCATTTTTTTAGGTGTAACGGAATTGGCAAACATAGAAATAGCTTGGGGGGGAAATACCTAATTCTTTTCTCTCAAAAGGCAAACCTCACCTTTATGCCTCTTCCAGTATGGCTAACAGAGTGTTTGCTGTACAATATAAAACATCTGCACTGTTATGCTGCTATGGGGAATTGTTAAAAGTTGCTGAAGCAAAAGGAATAATACACTTGAATACTAAACGCTGCTGGAGAACCGCAGGGCATGCAAACAACCCAAATTGACAACTATGGTGTTTATCAGAATGCTCACTAACCTGAGTAACCCTGGTCTTCATTACTGCTATTGGAAGAAGAAGAAAAACCTTAAAAGATTTCTTTTTTTAAAAAAAGAAAGGGTTATTACAGAAATTGAACCTTAATTGGAACTTAATCTCCATAATTATGCATAATTATCCATGTTTATGACTCCTACAATGAGCATGCAAGGTGTTTTTTTCTTTTCTTTCCCCCGTTAGCAGGAAGACAAAATGACTTAAGACTCGCCGGAATCATTGGGTAATATGATCGTATTCACTTCAGTGAGTTTATGAAGCTGTATAGTTTTAGAATTCAATTAGAAACGGCGTGTCTTCTCAGTACTTGGCCTTTGACTTCTCCTAAGAACATGAAAAGAATGACGGAGCAGACAAAGATTTTGTTCGTTTTTTTTGTTTTTTGTAACGCTGACCAGAAATTGAAAGTATTTACATCCTCTGCATGCCTCGGCGTTCTTTCCTGACCTGCCTCTTTCAAAATGGTTGGATGGACAAGTACTGTTCAGGTAATCACTTTACTCTTCAAATGTTGGCACGATAGAATCCTTTTCAGCTCCCACTTGGCTCTGCATAAAACATTAACAACAACTCAACACTAAGCGCATGACAACTGCTTTACTGGAACAGTCCTGAGGTTCACCTTGTTTAGGGTGCTGTCTCTCAGAGGTGCAGTTAGATTATTTTAGACTGGATTTAATCTTCCCGGGCTGTGTGTGTTGCTTTTTAGAAGACAATGTGCATTTCTTTACTTATTCAAAATGTGTTAAGCCAGCTGTACTGCGTTTAGGGGCCCTCTTGCTCATTCTTCTGAATGAAGCCTGGACTTCTGCCCCAAAGGGCTCCCTGAGGCACCTCTGCTGTCCCTTGCAACAGCTAACCCTGCCTTTGGGAAGCTCATAAACAGAGCCTGAAGCTCTCTCTGTTCGTCGATTGCTCATCCCCAGCACTGGGTACTCACCGTATACTGTTCTGAACCATTGTGACTAATAGTCAGGAGCTAGTGAGACTTCTCTAGGAAATAACTTTGTTGCCAGGCTTGCCCATACCATTGTTCTCTTGTAAATGTTATTGATAGCCACTATTCACTGTTTGTTCCCCTATCTTCTTCTTACCCTTCTTTTGCTGCCTCCCCCATGTCTAATTTGATTGCACATTTGTTGAGGTAAGAAACCATCACTTTGTTTGTTACTCACTAAATCACTATGCTCATTTATAGTATTCTCTCTCTCTCTCTTTCTCTCTCTCTCTCACACACACAAGTTCAACTTGTAAAGGCCCAATATATGCAGCCTGTACTAACCATTGTTGAGAGGGATTGTACCTTATCAGACCTTTGTGATGTACGTACTTGCATGTGCACCATTTTGATACCTTGAATTCATGGAGGAGGCAAAGCAGCCATTGCACAATCCTGCTGTCCGATGATACATTTACTTGCGCATTTTCAATTATCTGCAATTAGTTGAAGCACGTACAATTTGCAGGCCACTAAGCCAAACACAGACCAACAGCCATGTATTGTGGCCTGCTAGGTGCTTGAGCCCTGCAAACCCATCTTTGCAGTCTCAGGCAGCAGTAAAACCAGGAGGTTTATCTTGTCCCTGGACTCAGCTATAAAACCTTTTAAGTGTGTTTTAAGTGCAATATACAATGGGACACTAGGTGGCGATGGTGAGCCTTATGGAAAAGTCAATGTATTTTTTCAAAATGCTTTTAAAAAGGCATTTCCAGCATAGTTTTAATATGTGTGTAGATTCCACCCCTTTTGGCTTCCATATAAGGCTGCATTTTGCTTGCCGCAGTAGCAGTTAGGACTCTGAAGTTTTTTACAGTCAAGCAATGTATAACTTTTATGAAATATTATGGGATTAAGTTGTAATAAACCTGGTATAGGCCTTAAAACAGGCAACCCTAGATCTTATTATGCTACTGTCTTTGAGTTACGCAAAGTTCTTGACCACACAATGTTCTGACTTGCTTGCCTTTTCTTTTCTGAAGAATATTTATGCAACAAATTCAAATCTAGTTCCGATATTGCCTGTGGGTACTCCTAGAAAAAACCAGAAGCCACACATGCATCTTTCAGCCTTTGCACAAACACGGTAAGCGCATGCGCAGCCGCAGGCAATTGTGCATGTAGACTACCAGCATCTGGGCCTCTGCCTTACACATCCATGGCCCAAGACAGGGTCGACGACTATGCAAACAATACATTAAGAGAAGCACTTGCTAATGTGTTAGAAGATGCATTATAGATGTGTAGTCAAACGGAATGACAAGTAAAGGATAACAATACAATCTGTTCCTAGTAACCTTATGGCTGCACAGAAGGGAATACTGAGCTGCATGTACCAATATGCTGATGATATTATTAAAACGATTATTCATTCAGCTGAAGGGTAACGAATTGAGACAGGCATGAAAAAGACTTTTACACTTTTGCAAGGTGCAATAAATTCAGACTTCCGTTTCGGTCAGTTAGCCTCCAGATTGTAAAAGATCACAATAGCCTAGGTAGGCTTATGTTGGCAAAGCAGAAGAGTTAAGTTGCTGGAATAGCTTCACTGAACTGAATACATTCAGTTATCTTTCAGGAGAAGCTTTTCAAGAAGTCACTTTATCCTGTCTTGAAATCTTTATCTAGCAAATAAATCCTCTCCCAGGTCAAAATGAAAAGGGGAAAGACCTTTTCTCATGGGTGTCAGGACCAACACCCTGATAACTGCACCCACACCTATACTTTGGGCTTGCCCCTGTTGACAAACTGTCAAACTTAAGCTTCTCAAGATTAGCTCACTTGAACCTTGGCAGGGGGCATGTGGACACACCACACGCAACATTCCTCTCTGTGCTGCCTCCTCCTATACCACACGAAGTTTTGAAGGCTCATGGTAACTGCATTGAGTTGAACAGGGTTAGAATTCCCTGCGGTCAGACTCCGGATCAGAGGGAGCATGCCAGCTGAATCTCCCTGCAGATCTTTGTGATCAATGTGCAAATGGGAGAGGAAGGGCAGGGTGGCACAAACGGGAGGCAGACCCAGCATGCGCACGGCCACATCCCCAACCCTGCCTGTGCCCTCATGCATTCTTCTCAGTGCTTGAAGTGGGAATTGACTGAGCTGTCTCTTTTCAGCATGTGTCAATTTCACAACTGTTCCTTTCATTTGAGTGCAACCAGGCAGCTGGAGCTAGCTCCCATTTTTATTTCCCCCAGTGCCCTTGAACTAGCGTCACGCTGAGGAAATGTGGTAAATTTAAAGAGTGCCGAGACTCAGCTGCCCAGCACTGCCACCATGGCCAGGTGTCCACTGACAGAGGGAACACACCAGGGTACACTTGCTTTAATGTACATGGCATTTAAATGCACATTGTCATACTTTGCATGTAACCATTTGGCAGAACAGGGAGCCCCTAAAGATGGCCAAAGTACCACGAGGCAGTCATTTGCAACATCTTGACAAGCAACATGAAGAACTGCACCACACTTCAGGTGCAAATGTCTGACAGAATAGTCACTTGTATTGAACCCAACAAAGAATTTACTGAATAGTTGCATGCACAGTGTGGCAAGCTGGTAATTGGTTGTCTGTGTTCAGCTATCGCTGTCAGAGGTTTTATACAACCTCAGAAAATATAAATAGTCCTTGGAGAATCATGGAATACAATAGATGCAATTCCTAACATGAAGGTTTGTAGCTCAGGGTGGAATGATCTGCCTGAAGATCAAATTCCCCCTCCTCCTTCATGCTGCTTACATTGTTGGGTCTTTTTAAAACATTTATTTTAGCTTTTTGTTTTGTTTTGTTTTGTTTTGTTTTGAAAATGTATAACGCAAACTGCACCATTGATGCTGGCACAGAAATCCCATGGGCAATTTCCTGGAAGCAAAAGATTTCAGGTGATACAGTCATAGCAGTGGAAAGTGACTGCAAAATAATGTTATTATTTGGGGGGGGAGTAGACTGTAAGTGAGATCTAACACCAGGATACCGCAAGTGTTAAAATATAGGCCAGGTTAGCTTTCTGTGTTGAGGTGATAGCCTGGGTGATAGGCCACTATGGGAAGGGAAGGGGAGAGGGGAGAAGGGAGAGGGGAGAGGGGAGAGGGGAGAGGGTGAAGGGGAAAGGAAAGGAAAGGAAAGGAAAGGAAAGGAAAGGAAAGGAAAGGAAAGGAAAGGAGCCCTGCATGAGACAGCAAATGGCTGAGGTCACGGTTACTTAGGAGACCAAAGCCAGAGTTTGGAGTTGAGTTGCAGTGATGTGCACTAGAAGCAAAGCAGCAATCTGGGGAGCAAGAGGCAGAGCAATGATTGATTTCTGTTTGAATCCAAGACTATGGCTATGGGAGAAACAAGACCCTTTTGGGAGAAACAAGACCCTCCATCGCAGGCTCAGGTTGTATATACGTATGTGTAAATGAATCATATATCATAAAGACAGCACAATCTCCGCTGTGCCTCACTCCCAAAGGAAACACGAACCCCGAGTAACTGCCTGAAAGCCCTGGAATCTAGCACCGTTTGGAGACTGGGGTGATGTGCAATAATAATTTAATCCAACCCACTGCCCTAAAACATCATTAGCTAACACCAGGATTACATGATCCTGCGTTGTATCTGAAGATCAAATGCATGAGGAAATTAGGCAGAAACAAGCCTAGGAAGGGAATTCAGATGAGAGAGAGAAATTAATCACCACCGAAACAAGATAGTTAATTGTATAACTTACTATGCAATTGGGCACTGAAGCAACAAGTAGGGGAGCAGAATGTGTTTAGAAGTGTCTGTCTTCTATGGGGATTCTGAGCACCTGAAGAGGGCTTAAGGCTGCAGTTTTAGGCATACTTGGTTCTTAGCTAGGTTTCATTTATCTCCAAGAGGTTTCTGTAATAGCATAAACATGTTTAGAACTAGGTTTTGAGACTAGAAAGCCTCCAATTAAATATTTATTTCATTCCATTTAGGAATTGCATCCATAAAATATATCAAAGCAATTCCACAGTAACAACAGTCAACAATGAAACAATGAAAAGGGGTTTCATTTATACAAGCAATTAATAACAATTTCATATATGAAAAGAACAAAAAGAAAAAAACCTATTTCATATTCGAAAACAATTCACATCCTGTAGAGATGCCAACTGGAATAAAGGTCTCCATTAAAAGGCTTGCTGAAAGATCTTCAATAGGCAAAAGACAATACACTCACTGTCCCACAAAAATGCATAAATCAAAATTACAGTGTGCAAGAAAAGTGCTAGGAAAATGCATTTCAAGACATAAACAGCTGCTTGCTGGTTCCGACATGGCGTCATCTAGCCCACATTGTTTTGCAGGGGCTGGCCCTTCCATTAGGCAGTATGAGACAGCTGCCTTTGGGTGTCACGAAAGTGCAACAAATTCTTAGTTATTTAATTTACCAGGATTGTATTTTTATAGCCAGGGAAGTGGAGAGGTGCTTGTGAGATTTTCTGTCTCAGGTCTCACAACCACTAGCCTTAGATACTTATGCACTTTGACTTTCGAGGCAGGGAAATACAATTTGCTCCTCCTCCTCTGGATTCAAGATGTCTTGGACCAGCCTTGGTTTCTACCAGTGACCAGCCAGGTGGCTTTGGAACTTGTGTCTTGGTGTTTTCCTCCATCTCTGTCTAGAGATCTTTTAAAGGCCATTTAAGCTGCCTTGCAGGACATCTTCAGAGAAGAAAAGGCTAAAGAGTAAACCCTACACAAATCTGGAATCCCTAAGATGATTGGATGGTGTCTTGTATGCCTTCTTCTGGCAACTCCTGCAGCCAAGCTGGGCCAAACATATTGCTCTGCTTTCCTTTGGACCACATCAGTGAGGCAAAGGGGAAGGGCCTTGTCATCCGGGCAGCCCAGGAACCTCCCTCCATGGCTTCTGCCCAAAATAGCTATGGCCAACCAGCAAAACACAAACAAATAAGGGAGCACAATAAAAATAAAAATCCTTCCAGTAGCACCTTAACGACCAACTAAGTTTGTTACTGGTATGAGGTTTTGTGTGCATGCACACGAAAGCTCATACCAATAACAAACTTAGTTGGTCTTTAAGGTGCTACTGGAAGGATTTTAAATTTTTTTTGTTTCGACTACGGCAGACCAACACTGCTACCTACCTGTAAATAAGGGAGCAGACAAACTCCGGCTGTTTGGATAGCTGAATCAGTCATTTGTGTCATAAGGTTTGGGTATAATTCTTTGTGTTCAGATAACAGATGTCAGATAATGAATGTTCCAATAGCAGGACCTGCACGTATAAAGCTGTTTCATGTGTGCACATAGACAGTTCAAATATTACATTTGAGACTTCTGGGTAGTGCATAGTATGACTCTGTCTTACCAACTTTTCTAGCATCTTTGCTGAGTGAATTGCCTCAAAGATTTGTTCCTTTCCTTAGGATAGTAGTTAATTGATAAGCTGAGAGTGCATTTCTTTTATAAGCTATTTGCACATTTTATTGGGCATTAAATGACATCATGGTACCGAAATGAAAATGAGCATTTGTAAATATGCTTTGAGATTAAATAAAAGCTCCGCATTAACAGCTTAAATAAATTACCTGTTTCTTTTTAGAACATTCACGTGAGGGCAAAAGAGGTAGTAGATAGTGACACTGAATGTCAAATCAGTCCTGCAAGTGATACATTTCATACTTTTTGTTTTGATGCCGTTACATGCTCCCCACTTCCCTAAGTGGTAGGGGGTTCTGGGCCAACATTACAAGGTTTAGAAGTTTCCTTTGGATGAGAAAGCCTTCTGGAGAAGATGGGTATCATTTTTAGAGTAGTTGCTTATTTACAAATATACAAGCAGAGCATGTTGGAAGCAAAGATGCACTCCGACAGCAGGCAGCAAATCCCAGAATCGCAGCACACTACACAAATTTTCACGGCAATTTCTAGCCAGCTCCAACTAGAACTCTCTCTGTGTCAGTTCAAATGCCAAACCTACACCCCTCTGTATCTGTGCCTCTCTCTCTCTCTCTCTCTCTCTCACACACACACACACACATGCAAACACAGTCTTTTTCTCAAACCCCACACATGCAGGTATATTGCCCATTTGGAGAACTATCAGTAGCCATTAGCAATCTTTTGTCAACACTCTGATCACCATTTTTCATTGAGACCAGGCTAGTCGAATTCACAGCAATACTTAATTTTCTTCAATCTTTTATTTCCATTTTCTTCAAATTATGTCTTCTGACTAGCTCAGGTCTGTGCAACTTACAGCTCTCAAAGTTGAACTCAGCCCATCAACCATATTGCGTGGCATTCCAGGGTCCTGAACGCTTCTCACAACCCAAATCTCACTGTATCTCACTCCTAGGAAGGCAGCAAAAGCTGTTGTTGGACAAATTTTGTGGTTGGTGGGTCACAAATTATGCAAGTCTGAAATAGGAGAACCAGGTGTTGAAGACTCTGAATGAGACACTTTCCATTACTGCAAATGGAAATGGAATATGTGAAGCTATTGTGATTCTGAGGACTATGGTCAAATCCAAACAAACCAATAGGGAGATAGCTTGTCTCTAGCACAGGATTTCAACCTCTCATTTCTGAGTCACAGTGCTTGCTGATTACACTGAAACTGCTTTTAAAATGCATTCACTGGACAAGGTCCAAAGGCTGAAGCTCCATGTATGTTTCTATGAGCACCAAGATGAAAAATGGTGAGATATCTTTAAAAATGTAGTAAACAGTAATAAATATTTGTAAAATCAAAGTAGGGTTTGGATAGGTAACCTTTGTTCCATAAATACCAGCTACCTGGCACAAACTAGGGGAAATGCTATCTAAAATCCCAAATGAATTTTTTTAAATTTAAGATATTTGTTAGGTGTGTGTGTCAATATACATTTTATGAAAGAGTTATGTGTGTGATGGCAGGTAGATAAAGCTGCTAATTCACATGCCTGCCTCCTGCAAGAGTCCTACTAGTCCCAGAGAGATGCTCTGTGTGCTGCTTTGGAAAGCAGTCATAAGCAGTGCAACACTGATTTCTCTAGCATGGTACAGTTGTGCCCTCTCCTGCTCTGCTCTTTTAACAAACGAAGTTGTCTTTGTGACACTGGTTCACCTTTAAGAAGTATGTGCATAGCGGAGGTGATGCTGACTTTGTATAACATAGCTAAGTAGATCTCCTTTTGGCTCCTTCCATCTTCATGATTTTTCTATTATTTATCCCTGACAGGTAGGCTTGATTTTGTTCACCCTGGCACAATTAACATGTAGATCCTGCTCACATCCCCACATGCAAGTCACACATCACAAAATATAAGTAGAATTGCTGTCTCAAACTTGGGACCTTTCCATCTGTGGTTGAAGCAGGAAACAAAGCAGCCAGAGTTCTTCCAATCTGTTCCTGTACTGAACTTGTTGTCCAGATCCATTCTTGCTTGCTGAGATGGGCATCACCCCAGGTTACTCCTATATAGCAAGTGACCAAGGTACAGTGTTATGGCCCAAGGTTAGTCATACTGCATGTATAAATTATGTACATTAATCATGTGCCTTTGGATTATATGTTTCAAATCTGTATCTTTTTAGAGTTTTCTTTCTCTCTAAATAGTACCAGAAGAGTTCTCTACTGGAACGTGATAGTGGTCCATCTTAATTTAAGTGGGAAACAAACATCATAAACTTTGAATTAAGAACCCCGGATTCAACAAGGATAAATTAATTATCGCATACTATAATTCATAGGTAAATCCATAGTGCCCTACAATTAATGTACACAAAGTATTGGAGGGTTACAAAGGGTACAGACCATGAAATTATACTCATATACTCAATTAACACTCACATCACAGTTAATTATGGTGAGGACATTTTAACAATGCCCTTTTCAACCACCTTGTGAAGGTTCCTTGATATGTGTGAAATAAATGATCCCCCAAGGGTGATTAAGGAAGGTCTCTCTTAAGTTTGCCGATGCTGACAACTTTTCTAATGGATGTTATCAAGCATGGAATGGCAGCATACGGCCATTTGACTGGGTGGAGGGATCAGCCAGTCCTTCAGCATCGATTATCTGCTTACTGGCATACACACAAAGAAGAAACATTCTTATGTAGCAGAAGCTTTTAATGACCTGAAACGTGAAGTTCCATTGATTAGGACCTATTAACAGAAGCAAATTGAAAATCTGAAGGTGGATTGTGTATGTGTGCTTTGAATTGTGCTCCTGGAAAGCGGTTGGAGAAATGGCTTCCATGAGAAACAACAGTTCACAAGTCAATCCATGCTTGTAGCATCATATTGAAAAGTGCTGAAAGCTGGGAGTTGATAAATGGCATTGGCCAGGTTGAGATGGCGAAGCAGCCAGTTCCCCCTTCTATGATGGCCACAATTTGGCCTCATTTCACACTTTTTTGTGTACTGGTTCTTAATGATGCTTTACTTCTTTCCTTTTATAGATGCGTGCTTAAGGAGGTTTGCCGATTTTAGAAATGTTTCCTTCATTCTTCATTTAAATGTCACATGAACTCTAAATCATTACCCTAACCCAAAAATCTAATATGTTGGATAGCAATTTAGCGTTTCGTACATTTCGCGATAATTTTATGAATTCATTAAATCAATGACTAGTTTTAAAAGGCAGACATTTTTATGTCTAAATCGGATATCATGTGCCAAAATCCAGACTGCAAACATTGTGAATTCTTCAAATTAAAATTTCTCAAAATACAATTAGAAATTGAAATGTAAATGGGTACGACAAGCAAATACAACAGCAACAAACACATCTGATTATGTACGAATAGTAGGGGTGGGGAAAATTTGGGTTGCACAGTTCCTGGAAAGGTAAGCGACTCAAAGTGAAATTTTCACTTCTTTAGCTTTTGTGATGCAGTTGTGTACAGCGTGTGTGTGTGCCCGTGTGTATATAACACATACAAAATTGCATCATGTTAGGGGACATTGCTTGCAAAAGTGTGGATATTGGGCAAAAGTGTATATATACATAAATGTGTATATTGGGGAAATGTGCACTACAATGTTGATGATTATTTTATAAGGAAGTTTTTTTATTGAAAAACCCCCCACAAAAATTAGAATGTGGGAAACCAATGTCTGGAAAATTTAAGAACTGGGAGGAACAAAAATTTGTCCATCTGTAGTGAATAGTACATAAAGGTAAAGGGTAAAGGGACCCCTGACCATTAGGTCCAGTCGTGACCGACTCTGGGGTTGCGGCGCTTATCTCGCTTTATTGGCCGAGGGAGGCGGCGTACAGCTTCCGGGTCATGTGGCCAGCATGACTAAGCCGCTTCTGGCGAACCAGAGCAGCACACAGAAACGCCGTTTACCTTCCCGCCAGAGGGAAGTATTTATCTACTTGCACTTTGATGTGCTTTCGAACTGCTAGGTTGGCAGGAGCAGGGACCGAGCAACGGGAGCTCACCCCGTTGCGGGGATTCAAACCACCGACCTTCTGACCGGCTAGTCCTAGGCTCTGTGGTTTAACCCACAGCGCCACCCGCGTCCCAGGAATAGTACGTACATGGGTCCAAAAAACATTTCATCCTTACAACTAAGTTCTCAATTGCTCTTTATTTCCATTTTACACAAGGAGAACCAAAGCTGAAAAAATTTAACGTACCTTGTTTCTACCTGGGAAATTGTCCCTCTGTTGTTTTTTCAACACTTGTCTCCCAGCCAAAATCTTCCAGATCTGTGCCTTAGCCTTCACATTTCGAATCCATCAAAATGGACCCCTTTTTTGTTCTCTGGAGTCTTGGAAAGACTTTTCATTATGCCATACATGCTACAAAGGACTACAGGAAGTAAAGTCACCTGCCAAAGAGGCTAAAAAAGGAGAGTCTATTTTGTCTTAACAGATGCTGCCGGTGATTAATTAGCTCCTTTCCATAGCTGTCAAGTTATGCAGTTTGACTCTATGACACATGACTTTGAACCTATTCACCTGAGTATATATGCACAGCTCTGCTGTTCAGTTGATATATTCCTTTCTTTTTCATTCTTGTGAGAGAGGGGAAATGAAATGAATATTTTCATCAAGGTAATGGCTTACAGTTCATGGCTGGCTTGCAGAGGTTGCACACCTGACCTATTTTCCAATAAGACTAAAAGCAAATCAGGTTCTTTAGTCCTTCAGCGCATGACAATCATGCAAAAGAGTATCAAATCGATAATAGGAATCTAATAATTTAATTGACTGTAGGCAAAATGAGAAAATAAAAATTTCCAGTTTCCTTTGTCAAAATTTTGTGAGGACAGTTTATGTTTCTACAGTAAAAAATAATAAATCAATATTTTCCCCGACAAATGTATTGGGCAAATCCTCATTGGGGGAAAAAATGAGACTAACAAAACAAGCAGCCATCGTGGAGGTTGATAATGAAACCAGTCACACCTGTCATAAAAAAAATATCAATCTCCTTTTATCACTAGCATGATTTATTATATGTAAAACCCTACTAAGATATTTTCCCCATTTAATAGCCTTCAGTTTTCACTGAATTTCCTCAAGGTGAATTTCTGCTCAAGCTGACTCACCTTGATTTGATTTTTTTTTTTTTTTTAGGCCAGTGATATGCAGGACCTCACCCACAAAGTTTCATTAGTTTGATCAAACATCTCCCCAAAAGTTTCTCTCAGTCATTTAAAATGAGGAAGAATATCTGTATCTGCCTCAAATTCAGATGGAAGGAAATGAAGTGGTAACTCCAGACAGAAAAAACGAAGTCTGCTCCACAAGCAAATAGTGTAGTTTGGGCATTTATATCAGCACAGAGTACATACTATGGAGAAGAATTGCTAAGAGAAATACTGCTTGACTCATAATACAGCAGAGAATTACAACCCAGACAAATTCATATATTGAACCAGATATTAATCAAATGGTGTTGTGGCCATCAAATGATAAACTTGCATGTGTGAACCAGGCATTAGTCATTGGCATTTCTATTTCTGAATTTTCATGCAGCGCAGCAGCATTGTGCAGAGATGATATCTAGTGGGAGAGATTTAGAAAAAGCAACCAATAACTCAGTGGCAGATGGAAGGCAGCAACTTCCAGGAAGTGACTCAGCTCAACAGCAGGGAAAACAGAAGAGACTCAGAGCAGAGGAAATTAAGTATGAAATGAACCAAATAAACCTTTGCTTCATATAGGGATGCGTCAATTCACCTCAAGGGGGCTCAACCCTTTTTTGTGCCTCAGACAAGGGTGCTCAAAGGACCAATGATTTGCTCCAAGACACCATGCGCAAAATGTTGAGGAATCCTCAACTGCTGGCCACTGAGTTCTGCAGCTGCTGTCTCCGCGTCCCTCCCTCTCAAGGGAAAGCATGGGTGTGCTGCCCTGGTGCCAATTTCAGTAAGAAGCACATTCAGCCAGGAGCTGGAACTGCTTCTGCTGCCTCCTCCTCCCTCGAGTAAGTTGAGAGGCTCCTTGCTCAGGTGATAGCAACTGTGGAGGCACTGAGGGACGCTTGAAGTGCGGTTGACTAGGACTTGGACCATAACACTCACCAAGCATGACTATATTAGGTCCACAACTCCCTGCAAACTCCTTGATAAAGTAGCTGTGATGTCCCTATCTCTCTATAATTCCTGAATTATTCTTGCAATAGGAATAGAGCATCTGCGCCCTCTCAGGTGAAGAGATTCTGACTGCCTTTTGCCTTTTTTGTTAGGCTGGAGCTGAGAGGCCTAGCTGTTCCGTTCTGTTCCGTTCTGTTCCGGATCCTGGGAAGGAATTTAGCATTTAAATTTCTATCCCACTAGGAATATGTCCCACTGTTTCTATGACACAGATTAATGACACTTTCAGATAATTACAGCTAAGCTAAGTTCCTTTTCTCTAGCACGCTTAGCAAAGGGTTCATCAGATGCTTCCTTAGTGGTGAGAGGAATGATAGATTTGTATTCCATTATTCAGACTCCCGGAAAACTTTTTAAAAAATAATAATAATAATAATAAATAAATCTTGATTGAGCCTGCTCACCCCTCCTTCAAGATTTCGCAGTATCCGGCCAATTCCCTGCCCCCCCCCATCTCTGTAAGCGTTACAGAAGTTAGCTTACTGGTGCTCTGTGATTTTACATGCAAATCTGCTTTAGCCATGAACTTCCAGATAGCAGTTTGCAAAGCTGTAAGAAAAGATAAACAGTTTATCCAGTTTAATGATATTTAATGCAGATGTCACCACAATGGTGGCTGGTTGGATCTGTGTCATTAGAATCAAAAGATATGCATGGAGGTTTTTTTTTTACTGCTCTCATTACTGATGCTAAGTCCAAAGAGTGTTGATATTACATTGCTAAAGCAGAAACTAGAAATGAAGACTGGGGTGGGGGGTGGAATGAACATTTCAGTTAGAACCTTAACATAAACTAAAGGGAGGGAGGAACTAGCCCAGAGCCAAAGTTAACCTTTTGTCTTTTAGTCATTCCAGTGTGGCAGCTACTGCTATACAAAAATCATTTCTTTGGATTTTCAATGTACTTTTGAAATCTAGGCCGTTGTATTAGAGTACAAAGAAGGTAATAAACAGCAGCTTTATCTTTCTGTTTTTTACAAGAAGTAAATGAAGTCCTTTGAAATTAGACATATGAAAAGCAGCATCAAATACGTGCCTTTTGTGTTTATGTAACCCAAGTCTTGATGTAATTTGCACATGAGCAATTGCCTGTACTTTCTCAAGGTCCTTCTATTTTAGAATGTTCAGTTTCTAGAGATTTGATAAAGCTGTTAAAAGATGTCAAACAGCTTCTTATGCAACTTGAATGCTGGAAAGATGAATAAGAGGCAAACTGCAAATTGCATAAAGTTTGGGTTCAAACAGGGTGCGTTGGAGTCAATCTGGTTGCGATGTTCAGGACCTTTGCAAGACATTTCTTTAATCTGCTTGAAGTTCTTGTTTTTACTCCCCTCTAAGATCCTCTGAATTTATTTTACTCTCCCCTCCCATAAATTCACCTCAATATTTTGATTTAGGAAAAATTCATTGGCAATGTCAGGATGTTGCTCAATTCAGAACCTGAGGAAACCTCTGTGAAAGTGGTCCTGAAAAACTAGAAGAATCTGGCATAGTTTCAAGGCTTCATCTCATGGATGTCTCACCTACAGATGTAAAATTTCTGGAAATGTTGAAGCCGGGAGGAAAAAAAGCTTTGGGTTTTTCCTGGTACCTTGGTTTACAACCATAATCCGTTCCGGAGGTCCGTTTGTAAACCAAAACAGGTTGTAACCCAAGGTTTCGCCAATGGGGCCTCCAAAAAAAATTTGTTCGTAATCCCCCCAAAATGGGTTGTAATCCAAAAAAAGGGTGCAAACCGGGACATGCACTTCCGGGTTTGATGTGTTTGTAATCCAAGACGTATGCAAACCAAGGTACCACTGTATATGGAAATTTTCAGGAAAAGGGGGTGGGGTGCAATCCTTTTTTAAAAGTGTTCTTCACACATCAAAAATAACTTTGTTGCTTTTAAAACATAAAACACATTCTGTAAAACTTGGTTTGCTTTACAGTTATCATGTCTGGTATATTAAAAGTCCAGTTTATTCTATGCCAAACAAAGTGTGGAACTTTGGAAGCAACTTAGAAGGGGGTATTTTAAAGGTCTAACACCCTATATTTCCATACTTTGCTGCATGTTTTGTGATTTTAAATCTCCGCTGGGGCTCTCTCTAGGCAACCAGGGAATTCTCCTTTTATTATAGCTAGCATTGATACTTTTAACCAAATAACAATTACAAAAACCAACAACAGCAAACAATGGGGTGTGTCTTAGTTTTTGATCAGCTGACTTCCACTGGTGCTGGGTGGCATTCTTTGCTGATTCCTCCTTTCCTCTGCAGCTTCCTGCGCTCTCTTAAAAACTGCTCTGGATGTGGTGCAGGAAGAGTGGGGGGCTGCAAGAAGACAGGGGAGTTGGCAGAAATCACCACCCTGACCCCTTCCTTCTTGAGATGACTGTTGGATCCTAGTTCCCTGCATAAATGGAAGTAGCCCTACCATTTGCTCAAGAGGATGGCTGGACCCCATCAGCTGGTTATTCAAACCAGGTAAGAGAAGAAGAAGAAGAAGAAGAGTTTGGATTTGATATCCCGCCTTTCACTCCCTTTAAGGAGTCTCAAAGCGGCTGACATTCTCCTTTCCCTTTCTCCCCCACAACAAACACTCTGTGAGGTGAGTGGGGCTAAGAGACTTCAGAGAAGTGTGACTGGCCCAAGGTCACCCAGCAGCTGCATGTGGAGGAGCGGAGACGCGAACCCGGTTCACCAGATTACGAGTCTACCGCTCTTAACCACTACACCACACTGGCTCTGAAGAAGTGTATGTGTCTGCAGCATGACCCCGGTCTTTCAAACCATGATTTGGGGAACTGGAGATGTCACATTCATGGGAATTAAATGTTTTGGTTTAGTTGGGTCACTATGAGCTATTGGCTATGTGCACTTATTTATGATAAACTTTTTGAAAAGTTATTCCACCCAAAACTTATTAGGAGTTGTTACCCCAAAAGTCTGCAAAAAAAAAAAAAAATGGCTGCTGGAATTCAACTGTATATTTCCATTGAAATGTGGAATAATTAGTATCCATATAATACAAAAGGCCCATTTTGTGCACACCTTAAAGCAAAGAGATTCACAAAGAATAAGTTTGTAATTTGATACCTTAGGTAATATACTATTGCCCAACTTGTTACTATTTTTCCACAAAAGCATTTTTAAACTCTTCCTTTACACATCAAGAAGATTAACTCCCAAACATATTGTCAAAATCACAGATAACTTCTTCTTCTTCACCCAAATCACAGTTATTTGAGACGAAGGGGAGAAAATGAAAACTGCATAATAATTATATGTAGATTGAAATCTCCTTCTCATAAAATTGTTAATGCTTGAAGAGAGACAGAGCTTATTCTTGGGAAGAAAAAGTACAGAAAATCAATCAGTCCAATTTAGTAACGAAGTTCCTTATCAACTCCTACTTTTGGAATTAAAATATATAATACCAGTCAAGCAAAACTAGTCAATAAAGATTTGTAGATTCCTTTTCTAATTGCACCAAGGCCACAAAGAGCCACCATACATGGATCTCTTAAACACGGGATAGGGAATGGCTGTTGTCTGTGAAAAATTGATTGTGCCCAGTCCGCACCCGCTACCTTAATTGCTTTGTTACATTTAAGGGTATGCCAGTGGTAGAGATGAACAAATTTGTCAGTCTTGGTTCATCTCAATTTCTTCTTTTTCCAATTTTAAGTTCAGCTCTCCACATTTCCGCGGCACTTTCTGAATTTTTTTTTAACGTCCTCGTGAAAATTTATAAGTGGTTTACGGCAAATGTCTCCTAATACACACATTTGTGTGTACAATTCTGCTCAGTATAAACATTTTTGCAAAGCAATTTCCCCTCATGTAATGCATTTTTGCATGATATTTTCATTTGTTGTTGTTGAATCGTTTAGTCATGTCCGACTCTTCATGACCCCATGGACCAGAGCACACCAGGCACTCCTGTCTTCCACTGCTTCCCACAGTTTGGTCAAACTCATGCTGGTAGCTTCAAGAACACTGTCCAACCATCTCGTCCTCTGTTGTCCCCTTCTCCTTGGGCCCTCCATCTTTCCCAACATCAGGGTCTTTTCCAGGGAGTCTTCTCTTCTCATGAGGTGGCCCAAGTACTGGAGCCTCAGCTTCACGATCTGTCCTTCCAGTGATTAGCATGTGCATTTTAAGGCACAATTTACCCCAGTATATGATTATTGGTTAACTTTGGTTGGGTGACAAACTGAACTGCAAAATTAGGAGAAGTGCAAATTTCAAAGGATGGCTGTATTTCAGTTCTCATATTGTTTCAGAAAGTGCAAATTAGATAGGTTCACTTTTAAATGTGAACTGAATTCAATTTCTCCTCATCCATAGTCACGACTAATATTACATGTAGGTGGAGCTTCTGGTTTAGCCATAATTTGGAAACGGGTAGAAACAACTCTGAAAACCATGGTTTATAGAAATCACATTTAGGCCTATCAATGCCTAAATTTATTTATTCATGTTATTAGATTTTGTATACCACTCAAATTAATAATAATAATATTATTCCCTGGTTCACATTCAAACTCAAGCCAAAAGCCTTCCCAAAGGCCTTCCAGCCAGCACCCAATCCTTTAAAACAACGCCTTCCTTTTTTTCAGGTAGGGAGAGACAGTGTGCATGAGGAGTAGATTTGAGAGGTTATTATTATTATTATTTCTCATTCTTTTTGTCTGCCATTCTCATGCTTTGAATAATGGAGGAGAAGGGTGCCAAAGCAGGGATACAGCTGCCCTAAAGACTGCTGCAGGTGCTTTTAAATTGGAAATTGGCAGTATATATAAAGTAAGATTCCCCTTCCCACCCGCCTCATTTGCAGATGAGCCCTCCAGAATGGAACAGAAAGACAGACAGTGGAAATGGAATACAAGTTATTGCTAGACTTCTGTGCGATCCATGTAAATAAACATGGATTTTGAGGAAATTCTCTCCACATGCAGTGTGTGTCTGTGTCTGTGTGTGTGTGTCTGTCTGTGTGTGTGTGTGAGAGAGAGAGAGAGCGAAATACCATTTGTCTCTGTGTCAGTCAGGTTTCCAACCCAGAAACTGTGGAGTTTACCACTGTCATTGCTAACAAAAGCATCTAAATTCAGAAATTCTAAAAAAAAGAAAACCCCACAGGGCACAATCAGGAGTCTGTAAAGACTTCTAGCTAATTCCTTTCCTTCTTTTCAGCTAGCAATGGCAATGCATAGTTAAATGATGAAATTTGCTGCTGCAAGATGTGGTGAGGACCACCAACTTAGATGAATTTATATAGAAACACATGGCAATAAAGGCTGTTGACTACTGTTCATGAGGGTTTTGTACTAACTTCCTACAGAATAAGAGGCCCCATGCCTCTACATACCAGTTACTGCATAACAACAGCAGGGGGCCCTATTAGGGGCTTCCTATGGGCATTTGGGTGACCATTGTGAGATACAGGATGCTGGACTAAATGGACCTTTAGTTTGATCAGCGGAGCTTTTATTATGTTAGCACCACACCTGCCAACAGTAAATGTTTGATGTTCCTAGTCACTTCAAAATCAGTATGCAGTGGACATCTTCAGATTGTTTTATTTCTTAAACAAAGTTATCTGACACATTTCAGAAGATAAATAAGAAAGCACTTTCCAATGTTATCTCAACTATATTTACACTGATTCCAGGTAGTAAAATTCAAGGTTTTCAGTATCAAGAAAAGCATCTTAACAGGCATCTATCTGCCTGTTAAGACGGTTTTGTTTTCAAAACTCTTCTCTGTCTCCATGGCACTTCAATCAGCTCTCACCCCAGTTGTGTTTTTAAGGAATCAGAACTGTATTTTAATCTCCCACATTCCAAATTCAGTCTCTCTTTTATTCAAAAGAAGATCACCACTGTGTGGTCCAAAAACTCATAGAAAATGACTTTCTTATTACAGGTGAGCATAAGTATTTGATTAGTTATAACTGCTGGGTTCCCTTTCTCTGTGGGCACTTAAAGCTGCTGAGTGACATTCAGAAAAGAAACAGGCAAGCCCTTTCCTTAGAGATATCAATACTTTCTCCGTATGCAATGCATTTAGAATGATGCATTTACTCTCACAAAGCCATGTGGCCTAAAGGAAGAATGGTTTTCCATGATCGTGTATTACTAAGATTTAGAAAACTTTGAACTTATTCTTACCTACTCAGCCTCTAAAGGTTTATTTCTTTATATAAAAGACAGTTGTGAATTAACCATTGGATTTATATTGAATGATTAAATGATAAGATTTTAAAATATTTTTTAGCAGAACTGAAAAAGGTGGAATATGTCATAACTGAAGACACCTGCTATGAGCTGGGAGGATCTCTGATGATTCAGAAACAATATGTCTTACAAAAAGATAATTTTAAGCTGTTTTTCAGAGATGAGAACTTTCAGCTAATGAGGAGACACACATTACTCATATGCTACTTATGTGCAGGGTACAATTGTGTTTATTTATAGTGAGGCAGTGCTTATAGTCCTGTCCTGGACTTTGTGTCTCCTTTCTCAAAAAACCACATATTAGTTTGATGTGAAACTGCAGTTGCTTGAAGAGGGACCTAAACACATGATCTCTTGCTGTCATGTAGAGTCAGGACACCTGCACAGAAACCAGGATCTCACGTGTTGGGGTCTCTCTTCAAAGAAAAAGGCAATGTATGGTTGTTTGAGGAGATCTGACATTGAGGAGCAGGGCTAAAAGTGCAGCCCCACTCCAAGGAAGCAGAAGTGCACTGTAGATGCAAGCAATGTGTTGGAAAACTCCAGGGCAGAGGTGCTAGGAGACTTCAACCTTTACACTGAGGCTTCCCTTACTGGGCTATCTCAGGACCTCATAACCTCTAGGACACGCATATCCAACACCCAAGAGACTGTGATCTACTTCCCAGTATAAAAAAACTGGCAGTGATCTACCCATTGTCATTGGAGGAAGGAGGAGCGTGTGGGGGGGGTGGATTGCCCAGAGTTGTTGAACTTTTTGGGGGAGGATTGCACAGAGCTTTTTTTATTTTTCCCTGTAACTTTTTGTACATGATAAGGATCCCACGATCTACTGGGATCAGCCAGGGATCTACCAGTAGATCACAATCTACTGGTTGGACACCCCTGCTCTAGGACAACTATGGTGCTCTCTCAAATTGATATCCAGAAAGTGAATGAGACATGTTACACTTTCTCAAATTGCCCCAGGGCTTGATTTCCTAAAGGCTGGAGAGTGGATGTGGAAATACTGTTTCCTAGTGAGCTCCCGGTCTTTCAGCACCAGTTGCCCCATACCCTCTCCTCAACCCTCAGGCATGAGCGTTCAAATAAAATGGTCAATTTCTGAAGTTCTTAGGAAATCTGATGGATTCTTGAACTCTGGGGGATTTTGCAAATTCTACCTAAACATGCTGACAAGTCTTCCTGGAATTGGGAACCCTGCATGATTGATCTTCCCAATCATGAGTCTTTTAAGTGTGTTCATGCTAGCAAGCCACCTTCAGACCTTTCCGGCCAACATGGAAGGGACAGGATATATACCCTGAGTCTCCTACACATTTAAAATCTTCAGACTTTGCTACGTGGAACATGCATCTATACTGGGAAGGCTCCTCACCTGGAATGTTTGCTTTTTGCATTTTGATGTGAAGGATGAGCCCTACTTGTATTTAGCTCTGTCCTGAAGGAAGATTGGCCACTTTCCACTGCTGCAGCACTTCAAATGGACACAAAATGGGATTGTAGGCATATGTTCTCAGCTCAAAATAATGTAGATTGAGGTTTGGTGACATGGAAACAACATTCCTGCACATTCCTGATGTGCACATACCTGTACCCGAAAGATGTTTCACAGAAGTTCTTCCAATATCAGCTGGGCAACAATTTTTTACTTTTTGAATGTTGTCTAGATTTCTACAATTGGTTTGGGGTATTTTTGCACTGCTGAATCAGGAAATGGCATC